ATGTGTGTGTGTGTGTCTGTGTCTGTGTCTGTGTCTGTGTCTGTGTGTGTGTGTGTGTCTATGTATGTGTGTGTACTAGTGGTATGTATTCGTATATATGTATCTGTATGTAGTACATTGTATATAATGTCAAGTTACGTAGTACATCGCGTCGCGCGGTGCAGTTGAGTAATGGGTCCTGACCACATCAGCTGTTTCCAAGTACCTGCTATTTAAAGCAAATAGTTAATCTCGTTTGCACGTGCCACCAGTTGTCGTACTCACAGAATAGGTCGTATGTATTATTCTGAATCGTATGCAAGTGGCAGGTGTCCCATCGCTAAATTTGTATAATATTTTTTGAATCGTATTTAAGCGGTGGATGTCGTATCCAAGAATCATGTCGTATAATATTTCTAGAATCGTATTCGAGTGGCAGTTGTCGCAAAGATAGAACATGTCGTATTTCGTATTTTGTATCGTATTTAAGCGGTAGATGTTGTATTCAAGAATTATGTCGTATGCTATCTTTAGAATCGTATGCAAGTGTCAGGTGTCGTAAACAGAACATGTCGTATATCATATTTTGAATCGGTAGATTTCGTAGTCACACTATTTGTTGTTTACCATGTAACGGACATTTAAGAAAAAGTATTTGCTTTTTCTTCCCGAAATTTCAACTTTCACCTAAAAATACGTTCCTAAATCAACGCCTGTGAATTTACAACTGACCTTATATGGGCTCTGGTACTCTTTTTGGCGGGCTCTCGTGTGCACAGGAGTCACGTGCTGGTTATTCTCTCAATGAACTCGTGATGTTAGTGCGCAGTTCTGTGGCCAATCAGCGGGCAATGGCCTGGAACACCGTCACAGCCATCTTGGTACAACTCAGAGATGGTACGCCCCGCGGGTGGTTATGGCTCGTGTCTTTGTTTATGTGAATGTGTGCTTACTGTTTGTTTAACGTTTGTATCTGCTGGTTATGTGGATGTGTGTATCAGCGGTGTGTCTGTTTGGTTGTCGCGTTCACATTTATATACATATATGTATGTGTGTGTCTGTGTCTATGTATATGTCTGTCTGCGTATGCGTGTGTGTCTGTGTGTGTGTCTGTGTGTGTCTGTGTGTCTGTGTGTGTGTGTGTGTGCATACACATTCACTCCCGGTTTAGAGATGCGGTCGAACACACACATTCACATTGACTCCCGCCCTCTTACACCTATATACACATACAAACACACTCTCGCTCTCTCACACTCTCCTACACGTATATACATACACATACACACTCTCTCACTCTCATACACACGTACTCACATTTTCTCTCATTCCCTTACACCTACATCCACACGTGTATACCTACTGAACTACACGTGCCACACGACGCAGGTGGGTACGATGAGGAGACGCTGCGCGTGTACCGCGAGGGCAAAGGGGACGGGACGGACGACGACCGTAGCTATGCACATTCACACTCAGCACCCGAAGCCGCACTCGTGCTGCACGCGATCAAGCAGCTGGGACTGCCCTATCTCCTACGCATGGCTGTGGATGAGCAGGGCGTGTCCATGCAGGATGCGTCTGTGCGGTGCGTTGCGTGTGTGTGTGTTATTGGTGTGCTTTGTATGGGCTATGTGTGTATGTATATGTAGGTATATATAATATGAACGTTTGCTTGCACACCCTACTGTATCTCTATGGCTGTGGATGAGCAGGGCGTATCCATGCAGGGTACGTATGTGTGCGATGATGGTGTTTAATCGACTGGGTTGTATGCGCATATACGTACATAGCATGCATGTATGCACATTTACGTACATAGCGTGTATATATGCACATTTACGTTATATATATATATATATATATTACTGTGGTAACCTCTCTGCCTACAAAAGATAATGACTGCCAAGGATGTGTTGTCGTTAGACTCCCTAAACCATAGGCCAAGTGTGACCACCTGCGTCCTACTAAACGAAGACTCGTGTGAGCAGCTGCTTACCCATCCCACCTACCCCCATACGCTCCTAACCACCCTCTCACCCACACATACACCTCACCTACCTGCCCGATACAAAGCACACATGTGCACACACCTGCCTGCACACTACAGACTCGGTGTCCTGTGCGTATCCGTATACTTACATACGTCCCCCGTACACCGTGTATATGCACCTGCAGATGCCTGGCTGTGTATCTGGAGCTCAACGCCAAGAGGTTAGCTGAGCGCAACGAGGCCATGGAACGTCGCGTGGTATGTGCACAGACGGACGCCATTGGAGTGTGTGGAAATGGGTGTGCATGTGTGCATGTGTGTGTATATGCGTACAACTTTGTGCTGCGTATATGACTCTGTATGTGTGTGCGAAGATACAATCTGTATGGAGGGTAGTGGCAAGCGTGTATACATATGTTTTTGTGCTGTGTATGATGGGATGTGCCTGTGTGTATAATGTGTGTGTGTGTGTGTGTGTATTCCTCCGCCTGTGCGCATAATATCATATATAGAATATCATGTTATATGCCTTCTGCTTGTGCATGTTATATACTTATGTGTATGTATCATCGTTCGCCGTGTATGTAGTGTAGTTGCTGTGAAAGTGTCTGCACAGCCCTGTGGTAATGGAATGTCAGGTTTGCCTGGAGGCCAGGGTTTTAGGATTTTCCATGTCCATAAACGTAAAGGTATATCACTTAGTAGTATAGGACTCATATACACTGACACTCTTATAGGGTTAAGAATATTAGCGTAAATAATTAAACAATTTATATATATATGTGTGTGTGTGTGTGTGTGTGTGTGTGTATGTATATAATATATATATATATATATATACATCTGGTATACATATATATATATATA